ATTATTTAATATATAAATAATATATTTATTATATAATTTAAATAAAGGTAAACAAGCCAAATTTATTTGAGCTCAAATTCGGTTTATTTACTAAATAAGCCTAATATTCGAGCTCGAGCTCATCTCGAGGCGAACCGAGCCTGTTCGTGAATAGTTTAGTTCATTTGCAGCCCTATTAACCATTTCTTATGTGATTCAAAATTGTCGATGGAAGAAAGGGTTTTGCGGTTCATGATGGAAGAAGAGGATTTCACAGTAATTGGTGTTGAAACAATTGTCAGCGGTGTTGGGTAACGGTGTGTGATTTGGGTTATAGTAGTTATGGATGTTGGTGGACAAAGGGTTCCATCTCTTGAGAGGTTCAATAGGGTATGGTCAATACAGAGGCTTCACAATGACAGTAGCAGCAATAGCTTCCACCTTTGTCTCCATCCCCACCACCATCATCGTCCACCTTTACCTCCACTCTTACCACTAAACAAACTGTTGATTTTGCTGAAATTTCTTGGTCAACACAATATGTTCTTCTCTCTTTCCCTACACATCCGAACATATATAGTTGCCCTAAACTAATTAGTTTCTGGACAAAAGATTAGAAGGATAGATTCATTGGGCTTCACAATAATTTATTGGGTAAAATACCAGACGGGAACATCACAATGTTTGACTTCAAAGCGAGAAGTTGTTGAGAGAAATTTATTTCTTTGTGGACCGCCATCGGAAAAAATTGAACAACCATTTTTTATTCGCCAACAACAACATCCTCAGTTGAAACTGAGGGGGGAAATGGTATGTATTGATCCAATTGTATTTAAGCAAGTTTGTATGGAACATGCATTCACTTTCTGCTTTGGATTCGGCTACTCCCCTTTACATCAACCCATACTGAACGAGAAGGTGGTTTTATCTAATTGAGGAGGTATGTATGCATGATAGTTATTATTTTGTGTATGATACTCTTCACAAGCTATTAAGGACTTCTATATAATTAGCAATGATTTGTTTCCATGGAGAAGTATGGCAAGTCATGTGTAATAGCTATTATTTTTTCTATGATACTTTTTACAACTATTAGGCCTTTGTATTATTAGCTATGTTTGTTGATGGACTAGCTATGGCAAATGTTGTAACAGTGCTAGCTCGTGTTGCTTTATGAATGAAAGGAACAGTGAATTAGTAAACCATTATTGGTTACTTATTTTTTTCATTTCATTTCATGCTTTAATTGGAAATATTGCTAAAAACCGAACCAAAACCAACCAAGCAAAAGCCTTACGTTCCCATCAAATGGGGATCCTACATGATTTTTCTTCTCCACGCAAACCCTATCATAAGGCCATATATTAGTCAAATTAAAGTAGATTCATATCTCTATTGATAACGCTAGCCAATGTTAATCTAGGCCTACCCCGTCCCCTAACACTTCCATTTACCGTTACAGCATCGCAGCTCTTCATTGCTGCCTCTTGTTGGTCTTCCGTGAATATGAACCAAACCATCTCAATCGATTTTCTTCAACTTATCTTCTATCGGGACTACTCTACCCATCTCCAAATACACTCATTTCCTATTTTGTCTTGTCTAATCTTACCACACATCCACCTTAGTCATCCTCATCCTCAGCCACATCTCATCTTATCTACATGTTGTTTCTTGGCTTGCCCAACACTCCGTCCCATACAACATAGTGGTCTAATTAGCCGTTCTATAGAATTTACCTTTTAGTCTAGTGGGGTATTCGTTTAATCGCCACAATACCACAGACGCACTTCTCCACCTTACACCATCCCGCCTTTAATCCTTTGGGCCAACATCTGCATCAATCTCTCCTATTGTGGATAATCGACCCTAAATAACGAAAAGTTCACTCTTAGCAGTCTTGGTTCTCAATCTTCATATTCTCATTGCTATTTCATTGTTACTATTACTAAATTTACACTCCATGTACTCTGTCTTAGTTTCTGCTTATCCGGAATCTTTAGATTCAAGAGCTGTTCTCAAATCTCCAACTTTGTATTAACTCCTTCTTCTAGTCTCATCCACTAGCACAATATCGTTTGCAAAAAAGCATACACCATTGGCACGTCATTTCCTAAATACTTCTTGTCAACTCGCTCAGTAACTAAAGCGAAAAGATAAGGACTTAAGGTAGAATCCTTGGTTGTAAAACCCTACAGTGATAAGAAATTCCATTTGTCTCTCCGCTTGGCGATCTAATAGTCGTCACCACCCCTTTCATTACATGTCCCAATCACGTCAAATGAACCTTTTGTCACCATTTCTTCTACACCCACCATATATTATATCCGGCACTCTTATCATATGCTTTTCTCAGGTCGATAAACACCATATGAATGTTTCTTTTTCTTTTCTTGTATTACTTTTACTTACTCTCCTTAAAAGATAGATCGCTTCCATTGCTTGGACCTACCAGGCATAAACCGCAATGATTCTTGACACCTCGTTTATTCTCGAAATTTGTGCCAGAGCTTGCTGACTATTCCAGTTGGGTCCTAAACATATGTAGAATCTGGAAATTTTGCAGGAGTGTTATGCGACACAAGAAAGAAATTTACGTACCTTTACTTTTACATGGTGCTATTAGGAGGTTGTCATGTTATTTTGTAAACGGGTGGTAAGTATGGCATTCCATTTAACGTATGGTTTAGATCATGATTTGAAAAGAGGTAGAAGGAGAAAGATTGTGCCATAGAGTGCTTCGGGATATACTCTATTATAGGATGTCTAGTACTTCCACTATACATTTTTTGATAAAATATACAGTCGTCTATTTCAACATCTAATAAAAATAGTGAGCAATATTTACAAATTTAGAAAAATATTACTCAAAAAATTACTTAGAAATACTAATAGTGATTTAGATGCGTTTTGCCACCATTGGCCCCATTAATACACCCTTTTAATTTTCATCACACTCCCATCTTAACCCAAATTCTGAGACGGATAGTTACGGCTCTAGGCTTACTAATAAAAAATCGATATGTTTGATTGTCAAATAATTTATTTATTTATTACACTCACAACTTTTTTGAGGAAAACATAACTGCAACAATATATTAACGGAAAGATACAGTACAACATAGAGCTATCACAACATTACAAAATAATAATAACGCTTCAAAACTTACATTCTACATTTACAACTTATGTAGTTGTTTAGTAATCTATATGTGCAGATTTATTGTGTATGTAACTGTACAATTTTTTCAGTATACGACTGGTCCCAAAACATTAATCTCCTGGACAAGGCAGCAAATTTTTGGGTAAATTATACGACTGGTTCTTTTAGTTTGAGCGAAATTTTATTTTAATCTTCGCAGTTTTAATCTACATTTTTAATTTTGTTGAAATATAGTCTCTCTCTGTCATGGATTGTTAACATTTTGAATGGAAAAAAATCGTGTACAAAACTAAAGGAATCAAAGTGAAATTCAAATAAAACTATAGCGACCACTGGTGTAACTTATTTATTACATCGATGATCCCTATAGTTTGTTTAGAATTTCATTTTGGTTTCTCTAATTTGTACATAGTTTTTTCCATTCAAAATTTTAACAATAAGTGATGGAGGAATTACACTTCAACAAAATTGAAATTGTAGCATTCAAGTTATTTAAATTAAAACTTCGATAACTAAAGTGACTCTTCACTTAAATTACCTAAATTAATGATGTAATTTATCCAACATAGACTAATGGTTCAATTTATCATTTATCCTAAATTTTTCCACGATGAGAAACCTATGCTTTTTGCATACCAAACTATGAATAAGGTCAACAAAAGTGGATATGGACTTTGATCGATATCACAAATTTAAGTAACACTCAAGTTGCTATCAACATAGTATTTAGTGTGGGTTCAATTTTCTCCCACTATGCAAGTCTTAAACGGAACTTGTGTTGAGGGGTCGATGCAAGCTCCCATGTTATAGTTTTTGGTTTGGAATGAACAACAGGACACCTTGGTGTTTTCGCCACGAGTGTTGCCTTGGATCTGCAGGAGGATGTGAGGATTTTCTTGTACCAAAAAAAAAAAAAAATGTTTGGTTCATAAATTTAAGTAAAGATTTAAAAATAGGAAAAGAAAAGTTGTATGAATGTAATTATATTTTACTTATTTTTTTTATTTTCTAAATTTCTATTCAAATTCATAAACCAAACACAATTTTGGGTTATTTTGATTAAAATAGTTAAAAAGTCAAAAAATGTACTTTTATAAAAAAAAATATTAAAAATTAATTTTTAAAATAGGCCTTAATGTATTAAAATTCACAATAATATGATAAATTATGTGTTAATTTTTTATTTATCACAAATTAATCATAGAAGACATAATTTATATATTTTTAATTATTTATGATTTGAAGGAGATAACCTATTTGTCATGTCATTATGGGTTAACTGTCACTACAACAAAAAACAGATTATGCGACTAATTTTGCCGACTAAACTAAATTTAGTCGCCAAAGGGGTACACATTAGCTACTAAAAATTTGTTGGTTGCCAATGGTTCACACATTAGCTACCAAACAATATTTGGTTGCCAAATGGTCACTTATTAGCTACTAAACTTTTTTGGTCGGTAAAAATCCGCTATTTCGCTACTAAAATAATATGTAGTCAGAATTGTCTTCACTTTTGGCGACTAACTACGTGTTAGTCGTTGAAAATATAATTTTCGACGACTAAATATGATGTTCGTCGCGAATTGCAGAGTCTTTTGGCTATTATAATTTTTTTAATTCGTATTTATTTAATTTTTGGCTACTAATTGTGTGTTAGTCGTGGAAATGATTGGGCTTTGGCGACTATTTCAATTTTGGTTGCTAATGATTAATTATATACCGACTATAATTCAGTAGCCAAACGTGCCACAAAATTTTGGAGGGAATATTAGATTTTTCTTAAATTTATTAGCGACGAAAATTAATTTTGGTCGGTAATAAATATTTGTTTGTTTTATTTTTATTGCAAAAGTAGTTCATTTCCCTCCCTCTCGCACTCCTGCATCTGATTCTGCTTTGTCTCCATCGCCATCACTGCAAGGCTTGCTAGATCATCCCCCGAACTCCCTCCCAGGTATGTCCTCCATGTCGCCTCTCTCTCTCTCTTTATCTCTTTGTATCTCCCTCTCGAATTCTGCCTCCTTCTCATAGAGGCCTCTCGGTTTCCCTCTTTCTTGCTCTCGCTATTTACACACACACACATACATGCACACACACAAATCATATATACACAACCTTGATTCCATATATACTCGATTATACACTGGTACACTCACACCTCTGCCCTCTTCTCTATAGCTTTGTTTCCATCGCCATCATCGCAAGGCTTGCTGGATCATCCCCCGAACTCCCTTCTAGGTATGTCCTCCATTTCGCATCTGTCTTTCCCTCTCTCTGTATCTCCCTCTCGATTTCCCTCTCTTTCTCTCTGTCTCTGTTTACACACACACACACACATACATACATATATAGATATATATATATATATATGTGAAAACACACAGAAATCATATAGGAAATGCTGAAAATTAGGGCATTGTTATTGAAATGTGATTGAAATTAAAACTTAGGACAATGCTTGGGGTGAATCAAGCAATTTGCTACAAAAACTATGGCAATGTCTTGTAGTAGTAGTATGTATGAAGTGTCATTGATCTTTTAGATTGCAGAGAGAATTTCTCAAAAATCAAATTCATTTATCTAATTCATGATCTAAACAGAGTCTAAATGAATAGAAGAGAGAGAGAGAGAGAGAGAGAGAGATAAGAATGGAAGCAGAAACACGAAGAGAGGGAAGAAGCCAAAGAGATGGGATTATTGGAAGAGAGAAGAGAACAAAATGATGGGGTATGGTGGGTGGTGGTGTTGTTGAGTGTGTTCTCCTTGGAAATGGGTCATTTTCTTTGAAAGGGACATTTGTAAATTGCTGTAAACTCACTAACTCAATGTCCTACTACTGTTCACACAATAGGCAATAGTGTCAGTATGTGAATCCATGTGAACCCACTGCCACCCTCCCTTCCCTTCCCATGTTTTCTCTTTCAACAAAGATTATGATGCAATGCATCAATGGATCTCTCTCTCTCTCTCTCTCTCTCTCTCTCTCTCTCTGTTCTTGAATTTATTTATGGTTATAGGTCTCAGCTGTCCATAAATTGAGTATATCCTGCAACATTTCATCAAAGTAGGTTCTTTGTTTTTCATAACAGAAGAAGAAGAACAATAGCATCAGGCATGGTTGCACAAAACATGCAACTATGGAGTAGTACTTCAAATTTTTAGAGAGCTCAATGTAATTTATCCTAACTTTGTTTTGGATTAATTGAAGGTTCAAGGTCGGTTAACTTATTCCTTCTGTCCCATATTCACATAAGAATTAGATAAATGATGTGATCCATTCCTTATTCTTCTGGCTTGAGAGTGCAATAATCAACCATTATTTTAGTACTTTTTTTGGAGTTTGCATTTGGCGCATTGTTTTGTGTGTTAATTTTATCAAATACCATCCTTAATATTTTAAATTGTGTTTGCAAAAACTAGGGTATGTCAGCGTCATATATGAAGTGTTTCCCTTGGTTATCTTAAGCAAATTGATGCATCTCAATAGGTTCACAAATATGAGTTAAGTTCCCAAAGTTTCCATTACTTACATTTATAGATAAAAATATTATATTGTTTGCAAACTACAAGTAAGACTCGCACCAGTTATTCAACTTAGCAAGAATGAAGAATCCCTTAATACCTCTTCTCCTTGGCCTTCTAACTATGCAACTCAAAATAGTTGAGACAGTGACTATAAAACGCTTATCATGTCATGCACACACAATGTTGAGAGCATAAAAATGGTTTTGATTCTTTCGATATATCATTCTATTATTGACCATATGGTTTCACTAGTACTAGTGTTGTACTAGTTATGCTATCTAGTGGTCCAAAATTACCGGTCATTTCTAAAGTTAACTTCCATAATTACGCATTGCATGGTACAAATTGTGTCATTTGGTCCCACCCTAAAAGAGATTTATGTGACAAGCCAAACAGTGAATGAAAAACAACATAATCTTTCTCAACTTGAAATGCGTGTTCTCATTTGTTCCTCGGTTAATCTTTGTGTGAGTTGTAGGTGACAAAATGGACAAGAGTTGGATGACGATAAATAACAGGTTAACAAGTAAAAAGTATCAACAAGGAGTGAAGTCATTCCTTGATTTTGCTACGGCAAATGTAGGCGTAGATGATGAAATTAGGTGTTCGTGTGTCGATTGCATTAATGGCACAAAATATAGTAGACAAGTTGTGTGGATGCACTTGATCCGAAGAGGAATGGCATCTTCGTATATCACTTGGGTGCACCACGGGGAACATGTTCCCCTGTCTCGTCCTAGTGTATCAAATGACCACTGTGGAGGTAGTGGCGAATGTATGACAGATATCGATGATCTGCCCATGGATGAATTGCCTATTATGTTGGAAGAAATTTACGTGAGTGGTCTTATGGATGATCATACAGACGAGGAACCTATTGGTTTGGAGAGGGAGGATTTGCATAAGTTCACTAGGTTATTCAAAGATGCACAACGTAAAGTTTACTCGACATGTGCAAAGTTTTCTGTGTTATCATTCGTCATTAAGATGCTTCATGTGAAGGTGTACAACAAATGGAGCAACAAGTCATTCGATATGGTTATGCAGGTATTCAAGGAAATTCTACCAGAATGTGATCAAACAGTTCCATGGACACTCTATGATGGTAAGAAGTTCTTTCGTGACTTGGGTTTGGGATATGAAACAATTCATTCGTGCAAGAATGATTGTGCACTATTTTGGAAGGAGAGTGCTAATTTGGAGAAATGCCCTACATGTGACGCGTGTAGATACAAGTTCAACGATGATGGTGGTAAAAAGATTCCACACAAGGTATTGCGGTACTTTCCTTTGACACCGAGGTTGAAAAGACTGTATATGTCCAAAAAAATAGCCGCAGATATGAGATGGCATAATGAGAAGCGTGTGGATGATGACATATTAAGGCATCCGGCAGATGGTGAAGCATGAAAGGACTTTGATAAGCAACATCCAGCGTTTTTTGATAACTCTCGAAATGTAAGGCTAGGGCTGGCAACAGATGGTTTCAATCCATTTAGAAATATGAGCACATCATATAACATGTGGCCCGTAATCTTAATGCCTTACAATCTCCCACCGTGGAAGTGTATGAAAGAGCCATACTGCATGATGTCATTGCTTATTCCCAGGCGTTCGACACCTGGAAGAGACATTGAGGTTTACTTGCAACCATTAATAGAAGAATTGAAGAATTTGTGGGGGCATGGTGTGCAAACATATGATGCATCGAACGGGCAAATTTTTAGAATGCATGCGGCGATAATGTGGACGATAAATGACTTTCCTACATACGGTAACATGTCAGGGTGGAGTACAAAGGGTTACTTGGCTTGCCCTAATTGTAACAATAATGCATCGTCCCAGGGATTACGAAGTAAAATAGGGTATATGGGTGCTCGTCGCCACTTACCTGAGAACCACACTTGGCGAACAAGTAAGCTCTTCAATGGTCAAACGGAGCATAGGTCCAAACCTTTGGACTTATCGGGGGACCAAATACTAGAGCAAATTGATTCTGGGACTTACAAGCCGTATGGAAAGCACCCACAAAATCGAAAACGACAAAGGAATGAACATCAAAATTTGAATTGGAGCAAGAGAAACATTATGTTTGACTTGCCTTATTGGAAAACGTTAAAGCTTCGACACAGCCTTGATGTCATGCATATTGAAAAGAATATATGTGGCAATATCGTTGGGACACTTTTGAGCATAGATGGAAAGAACAAGGACACAGACAAAGCACACTTAGATTTGGAGGACATAAAAATACGTAAAGAGTTACGCTTGAAGAGGCGTTCTAATGGGTCCTTTGAGAAGCCTACCGCATTGTACACATTGTCTGTGAAAGAGAAAGAAGGCTTTTGTGATTTCTTGAAATCAATGAAGTACCCTGATGGCTATGCAGCAAATATCTCCAAATGCGTGACCGCTCAAGCTGGAAAATTATCTAGCCTCAAAAGTCATGACAGTCATGTCCTTATACAACGACTTCTTCCAATTGGGATGCGTGGCTACCTTAATAAGGAAATCGGAACGACACTGTTTGAGTTGGGAAATTTCTTTAAACAATTATGTTCAAAGACATTGAGGCGTTCAAATTTGTAGAAATTGGATGAACAAATCGTACTCATACTTTGTAAGCTTGAGCTTGAGATGAACAAATCATGAGTTGAATGCAATGACTGGCAAGTATGCCACTCCAGCAACTAACGAGTTAGGAATTCAAATTAGGACACCTTGTGCCCTGTGAAAGATGTCAAGTCATGGTTGGATCTTGATGAGACTACAAAATTAAATCTGCCGTCATCCAAGCTGTTCTTGTAACTGATATTACTTGTCCACAAGATGTAATTGTATTATGTATGCTTATAAGAAAGACTTTTATTTAATTATTACAATTTTCATTTGTTATGCTTGTAGGACAAGTTTCAAATTGGAAACAATTTCCACAATGACTTATAAGCACAACAGATTGTGAATAAGAAGGCCTATGGGTTGTACAAAGATTGGAGGTACACCTTGAAGCAAGAATTCGAATTGTTAGAGGGACTTCCACGTGATGAGATCTATGCTCATCCGTCAATCGCCGTACAATCATACCAATGGGTCTCGTTCATTTTCTACCGCAATGGCTGCTATGGTGAGATTGATTTTATTTAGAATTAAATCCATTATATGTTGTTTGGATATGAAAATGATATGTTGTGATTTTTTGGGGGCAATTATGGCTCTATTAGTACTGTTATTAAACTATAAAGCAAAAGAAGAAGAGCTATGTTTCCATTTCTCGCATTTTTTTTCTACTCTCTAGGTAAGTAGTTGTATTGAAATTGTAAATGAAACACATAATAGAGCTCATATACCAAAAAAATAAAAAAATAAAAAAATAAAGGCCAAAATAAGTATGTTTTCAACACCACAGGTTGTTGCTGTCTGCAAAAACTCTGTCTACAAATCTGCCTGAAAAAAATAAGTACACATAATAACTATACAAATCTGTCTTCAAAAAAAAAGTATACAAACTCTGTCTAAAAATCTGTCTGCAAACTCTGTTTTGAACATCTGCTGTCTGGAAAAAAACTATCTGAAAAAAATCTATTAAGGATACCAAAATCCAATCTCCACTTGTTTCAGCTGTTACTGAATAGCACTAGTAAGGAAAGTGAGCATGAGTTAACTTTTTGTCACCTTCACTATTTAGTTGGCAACTGATAAAATGCGAATGACTTCCATAGCTAATTGATGAGCATTATTGTTTTGGAGCCTTGCAAGTTCACCAAAGCCTCATTAGTCTCTTTAAAGAGCTTCAAGTTTAACCACTGGACTTTCCCATTTGTCAACCAATTCCTGGAGTTTCTCAAATCCCTAATACAAATAATTGTATTCTACATTAACCCCTAGCCTAAATTGTCTATAATCCCACATCAAGATTTGTAATGGTGTGAAGACAATAGAGACAAATCCAACAATCTCTTATGCAGTTTGCCTAAAAGGATGATAAATTAGAATTTTAAATACCTGAGGGGTTCTGAGACCCAATAAAAAGTGAAATTCAGGTACATCAAAACTTTAAATACCTGATAACAATTAGGACCATCACCAACTAATCCAAGTTCAGCCATGTAGGGTGTAGCACAACCATTAGGACAACCAGTTATCATTATCACTATAGATTCATTATATTCAAGACCAACCTGAAATCATAAAAGTCCATCTGGTTAACAAGCATCATTACCCAACCTAACAATATGACCTTAATCGAAAACCATTTCCAGCTACTTTGCTGGATTTGTTAATACTTGTAGCTTCATTAATATACCTTCTCAAATACAGCATGAACCCACTTTAGGATGTCAGGTATTCCACGCTCAACTTCAGTTATTGCTAGAGGGCAAAGTGGAAAAGCAGGGCATGCCATTGCAGTTACGTTAAGGGGATCTGCGTCCATTGCCACTTGTGAAATTTGTGTAAACTAGAATACTGCTGCCTCTATTTCCAAATCTGGTTGCAAATCTGTTTGAAAATCTGGCTGCAAATCTGTCCAGAAATTTGTATAAAAATCTGTTAATGAAAATTTGTCTATACAAATCTGTCTGCAAAGAATCTGTCTAAACTACAAATCTGTCTACAAAAACTCTGTTATCATACAAATCTGTCTGCAACAAATCTGTCTGCAAAAATCTGCTTAGAGTGTCATTGATTTATACGTTGATGTGTTAACAGGTAGCAAAAAATGGAAAGTTGGATTTTCCTAAGTTCTATGAGGACAGCCACACTTCAAAGAAAACGAATGACTGGATCTATCCGAAATGTCGTGAGCTGCATGTAAGTATGTGACAAGGAAATATATGTATTCAATATGACTGTACTTAGTACCTAATAATACATATATGTTAGTTAGCTTTTTTTGTCTTATTTACTTGCAATGATAGCAAGAGATGGTCAATGTACAAGCGGCTGCCATCGAGTCGGGGACGCCATTAACACATGAGGAGCTTTCAAGGCAAGTGCTTGGACAGAAGAAAAGGTACTTGCTTGGATTTGGGAGTGGCCCACAACCCTCTACCATAGCTGCATCACGAACACACGATAAGGACATGGAGGCAATGTGAGCTGAGGTGGAGGCACTTCGTGAGGGGCGAGAAAAAGATCATGACGAGTTAATGAAAGAGCGAGAGGAGCGCGAGAGATGTTACAATGAGCTGTTGAAAGAGCGAGAGGAGAGCATTCAATTAGCCAATGAGATGTTGAAAGAGCGGGAGGAGGGACAAAGGGCAAGGGAGGAGACAAATACAAAGGTCGAGCATCTTAATAACGTAGTCACCAAACTGTCACAACTCTTGGGAATCTAAGTTGGGCATCCGACGTTTGCTTTTTGATAAGAACAATTTCATTAATGTCACACTTACTTTGTTTAAATATGTTCGCTTTAAGAGTTGAAAATGTTATCAATTTGGGAGTTAATCTGCCTCACAAATTCAATAGGAGTTGTTTAAATATGTTCGCTTTAACTTTTGTTTATAAGTTTCTGAGCTGATTCTTTATACTCATTCCTAGATTACAAACTGAGACCGTCATTCACTGAAACCTTTGTTTATACCCACCAACCATCAACAAAAACCTTTGCATTTTCAACTCTAATTTACATTGTATCATTACCACCCAAGACCCTCATTCACTGAGCTCTTACCTAGCAAAAAGAATACTTCAAATGAGAAGTTGTAAAGGAAGAGCAGTGCTAAGTGACAATTAGGGGACATTTAAGATGCCTTGACAATTCATTGAACACTCTATTAACCAAGCTTAAAGTTTCATTAAACTGTCTACTACCTAGAAGTTTAAAACTTATTTATGAGTTTTTATAAATTAATAAAAACTCAAATCTCTTTTCAAAAATGTTATTTGTGCAATTGATTTCTTGTGTAGTTACTAGAGTTTGGTATTGAGTTTTCTTAACAATGAACTTGTATTTAACATATTTACTTGATTAAGATTTACTATAGTAGCAACATGTTAAAAAAACATAGTGAATTTCAATCTTCGTTTAAAGTAGCATGTTGTTTTCAATAGTGGTATTTTGAATACTAACTCGAACCACTGTTTTAACGTAATGGTAAGCTTCCCGTTGAAAATGTGTCATGTAGGGACAAACGGTACATAAATAGGACACATACGTTGGGAGTGTGAGTTGAAAATGTCATAAATTTAGTCGGAAAAAGGGGTTCAGGGGCAAAAATGCAAAACAGCCCCCAAACCACTGTTTTTACGTAACGAAAAGCTTCCTAGTGACAAATGTGTCATGTAGGGACAAACGGTACGTAAGTAGGACACGTACGTTGGGAGTTAGGGTTGAAAATGTCATAAACTTAGACGAAAAAATGGGTTCGGGGGCCGAAAATGGAAAACAGCCCCCCGAACCACTGTTT